GCGGGGCGGGGCCAGGGCCCGTGGGATTCCTCGGCTGGCGGGGCGTGCGTGGGGCGGGAGGAGGGAAGTTTGCCCAGTGGCGATCTAGACTCTCGGGAGGGGTTATGGGGCCCCGTTGTGGCTGACACTCACCTTTTGGTTTTATGGACATCGCAGGAGCGGCAGGACAGGACAAGGCTCGAGGAGGACGGGGTGATTACAGATGAAGGGAGACGCCGAGGTGGGAGACTAGGATGCGGTGGTGGGCGGCTGGGGTGCCCCTTCTAGTTGCAGGATCTGAAGGAAGCAATGAGCTGCCTTTCAGAAAAGCAAAATCCAGATGCTCTGATTAATTTGTGCAAACCACTTCAGGAGCACAGAGGCTAAAGATAAAGGCACACAAAAGAGCCTCATCAGCTTCATTGATTGGAGATCATTTCTCCTGCTGTGCCCACATGGGAACCAAACAAAATCCCACCTCAGCCCAGTCCCTTCCAATTCAGCAACCCTATAGGACAGGGTAAAACTGCCCCACAGCTTCCAAGACTGTAAATCTGCACTGGAGTCCTGCCTTCGGTTACCAGGACAGCACTTAAACAACTGTGCCACCAAGGCTCCCAAACATGTAATGCGTGGGATGAGCAGAGGCGGCCTCTTTCTCGCAGAAAAAAAATGGAAACTAGCATTCTGGAAAGACCTACAGACGGAAGACAGCTCCCATGCCTCATGCCTTGGAAGCAGAGGAAGGGACTGGAAATACAGACAGCTGGGACCACTGCAGTACTCAACATATGGAACTCCTCACAGATTTCTGAGCGAAACCCAAATCTGCCCTCATCTATCAGCAACGGGAGTAGCATTAACTGGCCAGTGCCTCAAATGAACAACATCATTCCTCAGTCCAGGACTGGCAGAGATTTACTCTTTGCTTACTGCCTCCCATTTTGGGGCTATAGACAGAATACATTCAAGACAAAACAGAATAATGACTGTCTTACTTAGATGCATTTTTAATAAAAAGAAAAACAGGGCCACTACTAACAGAATCAGATTCAAATAGTGTGGAGGTGAAATTTGGCTTCTGCAAACATCATTCCTTTTTGTCCCCAGGAGAATGTGGCCTCACTCCCAGGGCTGAACTTGGTTTTTGGCGGTGTGGTAACCACTTACTGCATTCCTTCCCTCACAGTTTGTTCTGCCCCCAATCCAAAACCTAGTTGATTATTTTTTTTAAGCTGTGATTTGGGTGAAATTTTACAGAGCAAATCAGTTTTCCACCCCCCCAATTTATACATGGTTTGTTTGGTAACACTAGTTGAAATTTTTCTAACTTTTGAAGTTCTCTTATCAGCTGGGTTTCATCCAAGATTCTTACATTCTTCTGCAAATACCCCCTGGG